AGCAGATGAAGAGGGATTTATACCCTCAGGGTTGGGCGCTAAAGAGGGGTGAGGGGTATATATGCTCTCAGGCGGGATGATGAAGGGTGAGGGGGATATATGCTCTCAGGCGGGATGATGAAGGGTGAGGGGTGTATATATGTTTTCAGGCGGGATGATGAAGGGTGAGGGGGATATATACACTCAGCTGGGGTAGAGAGGAGGGGTATATACTCTCAGGTGGGATAATGGGGAGGAGTAAGGGGGGTATATACCCTCAGGTGGGATGCTAAGGAGGGCTGTATATACACTCAGGTGGGTTGATGGGGGGGTTATATACTCAGAAATGGGATGGTGAGGGGGTGATGGTGAATATATCCCAAGTGGGGGTGTTGATGAGGGGTGAGGGGGATATATACCCTCAGCTGGGGTGGAGAGGAGGGGTGAGAGGGGTATATACCATCAGCTTGGATAATGAGGATTAAATACACTCCTCACTACCCCACATGAGATATATATTCTTTTAGGTGGGTTGGCAAAGGGTTGAGGAAGGTATACACCATCAGGCGGGATATTGAGGAGGAGTGAGGGGGAGATTTACCCTCAGGTGGGGTAGTGAGGATGGTATATACCCTCAGTTGAGGATGGTTGAGGGGGTTATATACCCTCGGGTGGAGTAGTGAGTAGGGTATATTCCTTCAGATAGAGGTGAGGAGAGTATATACCCTCAGTTGGGTTGGTTAGGAGGGGTGAGGAGGGTATATTCCTTCAGGTAGGGTACAGGGTAGGGGGTGAGGAGGGTATATACCCTCAGGTGGGTTAGTTAGGAGGGGTGAGGAGGGTATATTCCTTCAGGTAGGGTACAGGGTAGGTGTGAGGAGGCTATATACCCTCAGGTAGAGGTAAGGAGGGTATATCCCCTCAGGTGGGTTAGTTAGGAGGGGTGAGGAGGGTATATTCCTTCAGGTAGGGTACAGGGTAGGGGGTGAGGAGGGTATATACCCTCGGGTGGGTTAGTTAGGAGGGGTGAGTAGGGTATATTCCTTCAGGTAGGGGTGGGGAGAGTATATACCCTCGGGTGGGGTAGTGAGGAGGGTATATTCCTTCAGGTAGGGTACAGGGTAGGGGTGAGGGGGCTATATACCCTCGGGTGGGTGTAATAAGGGGGGTGTGAGGGGTATCGGGAGGGCTCCGGTGCATGTGTGAGCACAGCCATCACTCCATACACGGGACTGGAGCCGACACTGAGAAATGGATGTGACATTGTGTATTATATTCCGTGTTTTCCCCTCTGTACGAGGTTTAGGGGCCATGTTTGCTTCCCAGCAGAGCCCCTGTCACTGTTCTCCCCCCCAGTGGGATCGTCCGCCTGTACCTCCCCTGGAGAGACCTCTGACAGGACCTGCTGGGCCGGGGGCCTGGACCGGTTTGGGGTCTTTTTATTGTGTATATTAGGCTGGGGGTGGAATTCATTTTAGATGTCTGTTGGATGAGGTTTTCACGTATCGCGAAGCTGGGAGTGCAAACTGCTCTGTACTCGGAGCATGAAATAACATTCGCCGACATGTGCGGGAATGGCCCGAGAGCCTGCTGGAGGTTGGGAAGGTGCGCGGCAGCTCAGGTCACATTCCCAACATGTCACAAAGTACAGCAACAGTATCAGTTTGTAGAGAAGCTTTTATCAATACAAAGCCATTCAGGTTCTTTGCAGCAGACTGATGACATCATCACAGCCTAGGCAGGCAGCATTTGCTTAGTCTCCCCTCCCCCAGTGATCAGTTGCAGGCAGGAGGAAGCATTTGCTTAATCTCCCCTCCCCCAGTGATCAGTTGCAGGCAGGAGGAGGCATTTCCTCGATCTCCCCTCCCCCAGTGATCAGTTGCAGGCAGGAGGAAGCATTTCCTCGGTCTCCCTTCCCCCACTGATCAGTTGCAGGAAGCATTTCCTCAGTCTCCCCTCCCCCAGTGATCAGTCTGCTGCAGACAGGAATAAGCATTTCCTCAGTCTCCCCTCCCCCAGTGATCAGTCTGAGGCAGGAAGGAGGAAGCATTTCCTCAGTCTCTCCTCTGCAGTGATCAGACTGCTGTAGGCAGGTGGAAGCATTTCCTCAGTCTTACCTCCCCTCAGTGATCAGTCTGTTGAAGACAGGAGGAAGCATTTCTTCAGTCTCCCCCTCCCGCAGTGTCAGTCTGCTGCAGGCAGGAGGAAGCATTTTTTTAGTCTCCCCTCTCCCAGTGATTACTCTTCTACAGGCAGGAGGAAGCATTTTTTGCATGTTATTTAATTTTTGCCAAGCGTGACACATTGTTTTGTTTTTTTATTCAGGTTGGCAGCTGACCTCATTTTTTTGGGGACATAACGTTGCTGAACCTAGACCTGACCAACTGAAGCAATCCCAGATCATAACACTTAATCCAGGTGGTGACTTTTTGTATCAGGGCCGGGTTAACATGGGGGCTACTGGAGCAACAGCTCCAGGCCCACCA